CAGCCGATCGGAAACATTGTCACCATGCAATTCTTATCTAATTTTTATATCATTTTCTGCCTTTTGTTGTCTTTTATACATTAGGTATCGTAAAATTATCTTCCAAACAGTTAAATTCTCGAATTCAGCAAACATCTCAGAAGAGGGGAACTGAACATCCTTATTTTGTATTGGGATTTAACTAATTGAGATATTAGAGAATTAAAAAATACAGTAAATTATAATATTATAAACATTATAATATTATTATTATTAGATAACATTATAGTATTTTAATATTATAAATATTACTAATATAGACTAATGTAATGTTAAGAATTCGAGAAATCCTAAGACTTTAATAGAAGTTTAATAGAATGGCGAAAAAAGTTGTACAGCAATATAAGGAATAATTATAAAATTGTATATTAAGATTTGTGGTTCATCCGAATCGTTCGAAAGTTCGTATTGAATTGCTTGTCCGTCTCGCCTGCCGATTATTGTTCTTTGTCATGACTGTAATCTTATCTGTTCTAGCGATCTAATGATCTAGCGTTTATACTATGTTTACACTTCTATTACGTGGATTTTATACACATAATACCGAATTTCTTTACAGCAAGTTTCTATGGTGGATTTCCAGTCATGAAAAAAACTCTCAATATTTTTAAAAACATTTGAAATTTCACAAATTTCGAGAATAGAAATTTCTTTAATTTCTCACTTGCTGCATAATATAAAAATATCTTCAAGAAAACAATGATTCAGGATGATCAAAGCAAAAGCTTTATATTTTAAAAAGAATTCAAGTAAAGTGTAACGTGATTCTTTTTACGTTATGATAAGACTTGTATTTTTAATTGTTCTAAAAATTTGTTCAAATTATCCGGGTGAGAGTATTTGACATTTCGGAGTTGAATCTAATCGGATAATTTTGATCGAGCTCGAGCGAATACCTAATTCTAAAGACAACGAACAATGCAGTCACTTATTTTGCTAGTCTCATCATTTCATGGACAGGACCGATCGATGGGACAAAAATGAACCATGTTCAATTTTTAAATTTGGCAACTATGCTTCCGTCAGGAAATTCTAAACTGTCCCTTTAAATTGCTTTCCATTTGTTATTCTACACGATAACAATCGTGACGAAAGCAATTGGAAAGAGAATGAGAATATATCATTTTGAGTTCATATAAAATTTCAATAAAGTATATAAAAACATGTCGTTAAATTTTTGACAAAATTGTAAAGAAATTCCATAGTATCTGCGTAGTAGGGGAGATACAAACGCATGTCGAGGACTACGATTCTTAGAAAAGATAGATTGCTGCTTTATGTCAAAAGAAACGATGATCAGCAGGAGGGACTGAACGGGCAATTCAATACGAGCTTTCGAACGATTTGAACTAACCGCAATTGCTTCAAATATACATCAATTATATAATATATCTTACAAAATCATTCTACAAATTTTCTGTTTTATATTAATTCTCGCACATTGAATGCCAGATCATTGTGTTTGCTTGACTCCAATAGATATCCGTACTATTTTAACATGAAATCTCTTTAAATCTCTTTAATAACGGTTTGTTCCGAAAAAAATTTCTCTATATTAAATGATTGAAATGAAATTCAAATGATTAAACTTTAATTTTTATGCTCCATAAGAAAATCGACAAAAATATTAAAGATCCACCACTTTCACTTTGAAATGTAAATGAATTTGAAAAAAATTCTTTCTATTTTCAACGAATGTACAAAAGTCGTTAATAACCCACATAAGTTATGTGACTTTAAATAATGAAACTAGACAAAAAAAATAGTGCAATTTTATCACGAACATTTTCTTCATAAAAAAAACAAAAATACAGCAGATATATTTTCATTGAAAAGCCGTATCCTATAAAATTTGAAGCATTTCAAGACACATCGATCTTTTTCGACATTTTAATATTATTTAGTATATAGTACTTATATATAGTATATAGTACTTAGTATATAGTACTTATTACTTAGTATATAGTACTTAGTATATAGTATTAATAGTAATACTTTAATATTTAATTATTCACAATTGCATGTAGAAAAAATTCTATCGTAGAAAAAAAAATTAACGAGATCTATTAAAAAAAAAATGCTTTTATGGGCTTTTGAAGTAATATTTTATTACTATATTTATTATGATTATTGTATGTACATATATATGTATATGTACATATATATGTATAATATGTATGTTGCTCGTCTCTGGATTTAGTGTCACTGAATGATTCAATTCGATAAATAATTTTCGATGAGGAAACAGCAACTCCATGTTTTTTGATTTTAATTTCTATCACCGATAGCGCTGTAGTGCAATACCTGCCTAAGCCGATATGACAGGATGTGACACGAAAATGGTAAGGAAGTCAGGTGACATCCCAAAATCTGGGAAAAAGCATTGAATGTTTAGTCTATGCCAGTGTTAGTCAATGATTTAATTTATAAAATGCATAAAGGTTTATTTTATTTTCAATAGATCGAAGCAGCCGCTCAAATAATTATGTCACTGAATGAAATTAAATTTTAATGAAAATCGTAGTCGAAGATTTTGTCACAAAAAAGATATATGATTAGCCTCGTCTGTATGTGCCCATTTCTGGGATGATCGTATATCAGAGCTATGTTGTTTGTAATCAATGGTATAAAGATGGATATATATGTCTCTCAAATTTTCTATAGAGGGCTCCAACATTTACAATATTTTGGAGGTGTTTTAAATAACCTGTTACGATTTATTATTATGTTGTAATATAGTGCATAATTTTCCAACTTCAACAAAAATCGTTAATTAATCAGTTAATTAATCAAGAATATTAGTGTTATCCATTACACGTTAGCTCTGTGATAATCGAGAAAATGGGCAAACATGAAGTGGGAACTCCAAAGTATATCGCTAACAAAATTAAGGCAAAGGGCTTGCAGAAGTTGAGATGGTACTGTCAAATGTGTCAGAAGCAATGCCGAGATGAAAATGGATTCAAGTGTCATACAATGTCGGAATCTCATCATAGACAATTACTGCTATTTGCTGATAATGCATCTCGTTACATGGATCAGTTCTCAAGAGAGTTCTCTCAGGGTTATTTGAACTTACTGAAAAGACAATTTGGTACCAGACGTGTCCCAGCCAATCGCGTTTATCAGGAATATATCTCAGATAGAGGACACATACACATGAATGCTACAATTTGGCTTACATTGACTGCCTTTGTTAAATGGCTCGGACGTACTGGAAAATGTGTTGTCGACGAAACAGAGAAAGGTAATTTTTTCATGAATGTACCATTTGTCATTTTCTATGACTATTTGATTCAAATAAACATAATGTCAACTATTTCTTTTTAATAATTGTTTTCCTTGTCCTTAGGATGGTATGTAACATATATCGATAGAGATCCAGAAACGTTAGCAGCTCAAGAAAGGAAAGCTAAGAAGCAAAAAATGGATAAAGATGATGAGGAAAGGATGATGGAATTTATAGAGAAACAGGTAGAAAAAGGCCAGCAAGAAATCAATGAACAAAGTGAAACTACTAAGGAACCACTAACGCGTATCGACAACGATACACCTCTAGTTCTTAACATGAAGATAAATAAAAAACCAAAACTGCTTCCCATTATAAAACAAGAAGCAGATAAAGCTTCTAGTACTAGTGAATCGATTTCTATGATTTCGAATATAAAATCTGAGAAATCAAATGATGACAAATATATGGACAAGGAAACGAGTTCGATAAAATCTGAAAAACATATATCTAAGCGTAGCAAAGATAACGATAGTAGAGAAGGATGGTTAAGGGTGGGTTTAATAGTGAAAGTAGTCACCAAAACCCTTGGAAACAAATACTACAAGTCTAAAGGAGTAATTCAGTCTGTTGAAAATTCCAACTTTGTTGGAAAGGTGAAATTGAGGTCGCCGGAAGAAGTTGAGAATCATATTATAAAGTTAGATCAGGAATATTTAGAAACCGTAATACCTGCCATTGGAAAGCAAGTCTTAATTCTTTGGGGCAAATACAAGGACATGAAGGGTATGGTGCACAAACTTCATGTAGAAAGTTACAGTATTGATGTAAAATTAGAGGGGAATGATACTATTGTAAAAAACTTACCATATGAACAAATTTGCAAATACGAAACATAACTATTTATGTTACAAACTTAGATGTATGTGTTTCATTTGTAATTTTACTTATCAGATATGTTATTTATAATGATGTCTTGGTTAGTATACAATGAAGCAAAACACGTTTTTCTTTTCATTCGTATTTTTGGTATTTATACAACTATATTATTGTTTAAATATTCCATTTATATTTTGTATATATATGTATATAATAAAATTTATATATTTAGTTTGTACTAACTGATACATAAAAATAATTTATACATCTATGTATAGTCACTTTGACATCTAAGAGAGCACCTGCGTACAAATCTAATGTTTAAGAAATGCTAACTTTTTATGTACATTTGTTTATTTTTCAAATAAAATTAATTTTAAAAATTATACTTGTAAGGATATGTAATCAAATTTATTCCAACATTTGGTATATATTTAGTAATGTATGGTTTATTTTTATATTAAATAATTAAATTAGTGATAAATTACAAGATTAATATATGTTATTAATATAACTTTGGAGGTTAGAATAATTTTAATTAATTTATAAACTCATAAATATATACATATATTTTAATACAAATTATACGTATATATAATTTACATATTTTATATTTTACTCAATAAGATATATCATATTTTATTTTAATAATAAAAAACTTTTAATAAACATTCTGAAGTAGAGAAATTCAGTAACATGTGGTTTTTCATTCATATACAACATAACCTTCTTGTTGTATTTGCTATTTCATTATTGTGAGAAGGATAAACTTTATTTTTTGTAATTTGATAATTTTGATTTCCAAAGAAAGATAATACACGTTTCCATGATTATTTTACATAAAAAATTAATGGAGTATTGTATGTCAGAGGAGTCAGTTTATAGTATCTAATTATTTGGCTCAAAGTTTTAATTATTTCGTATATAATGTTTACTCTATTCAATGGCGATAACTCTGATTCTGATGAAGAATTAAAAATAAATATAGATTATGCCAAAAATTATAATAATTGGCGACAGAAGGAGGAATTAAATAAACGTAAGTACATATACCAGACTTCATAACCTTGTGTGTCGATGGTTATTTTTATCTAAAAAAATCTGTGTTTCAGTAAAAACAAAATATGGGGACATTAATGAAGGTACAGATTCAGATGAAAACTCCAATAGTGACAGTTCCTCTGAAAAAGAAGAAGAAAATGTATAAATATTTTATAAGTATTTTATAAATGTAACAAATTTCTATATTATTTTATTGATTGTTTTTTATAGGAGTTGAGACAGCAATTCGATAAAGATTTTTATAAGGCACTATCCTTTCTAAAAAATAAAGATCCAAAAATTTATGATCAAGGTGTAACATTTTTTGGTGACACTAATAAAGCGCAAAACGTTTATACAAAGAAGAAACAGCAAAAACCTAAGGAAACAAAGGCTGTTTTTCTAAGAGATTATGAAAGAAACATTATTGTGGAAAGAAATGGAAAGTTTAGTGATAGTGAAGATGAAAATGTATTGGAAACAGAGAAAAGGGAAAGTAATAAAGTCACATATGTACAAGAGCAGAAAAAGTTAAAAGAGAGTTTCAAAAATGTATTGCATGATGAGGAAGAAGAAGATAATGATGATTTGCTAAAGCCAAAAGTTAAATCTGAAAATGAAAAAGCAAAAGTAAATTCATAAATCCTAGTATTTCTTATTTTTTGTAACAACACTGATGTTATTTTTATTATTTAGGAAGATGCTGATTATAAGGAATGGTTGAAAGGGCAAAAGACAGATATAAATGAAAATGAACAGGAGATACTCAAACCTTTGCGCGATTTTTGGTCTAATCCTAATTTAGATGCTAATGAAAAATTTTTAAGAGATTATGTGCTTAATGACAAATATTTAGATAAAAAGTATACAGGGCTGGATGATGATAATGATGATGATCAAAGCAAAAATTACATAATTCACGACAGTGATGAAAATTTGTCGGAAGACGAAAAAAACATCGAAAAGCAAGAAGAATTTGAACATAAATATAATTTTAGATTTGAAGAACCTGATCAGGAATTTATTAAACGATATCCGCGAACCATGGAGAATTCTTTAAGAAAAAAGGATACTCGTAGGGCCGAGAAAAGAGCAGAAGTGAAAAAGAGAAAGGAAGAAGAGAAGTTAAGAAAGAAAGAGGAGCTTATGCAGCTGAAGGCATTGAAGAGAAAAGAAATCGAAGAAAAGATTGAAAAATTGAAAGAAATCACAGGGAATGATGATATTCAATTTAATGATATCGATTTGGAGGGTGATTTTGATCCTGTCGAATATGATCGAAAAATGAATCAAATTTTTAATGACGATTACTATGCAATTCCTGAGGAGAATGTTAAACCTGAATTCCATGATATTGATGAAGAACTGGGAATTGAAGATAATTGGGATAATTATGATCCAACAGCAAAAAATTTTGCGTATGAAGATGAATATGAAGGACCTCATTGCGAGGATCCAGAATTTAATGTAATTTATTTATTTTATTGTATTAATTATTTTCATTCGAAGAAAATAAACCATAATTAAATGTATTTTCAGATGGATGCGGATTATAATCCATTGAAAAGGGTTCAAGAAGAAATAGAATCTTCTAAAAAAAGAAAACGTAGACGAAAGTCCAAGTTCGCAGAACTTATAGCAAAAGAAAAACCGAAATTTGATCCTCAACAATACAAATCTTATGAAGAATATTTCGATAAGTATTATTCATTAGATTATGAAGATATGATTGCTGACATACCATGTAGATTTAAATACAGAAAAGTTGTGCCAAATGATTATGGTTTAAGCATAGAGGAGGTACGGAGGAATTAATCTTATTTTTAATGCCTTTATTTTTCTATAAAATATGTTCTTTTTATCAGATACTGATGGCTGATGATAAAGAACTGAACAAGTGGTGTTCTTTGAAAAAAGCTCTTCAGTACAAACCGGAACATGCGGAACTAAATGACGTTAAAATGTTTAAACAGAAGGCCAAGAGTGAGGCATTTAAGAGAAAAATATTTACAAGTTTGTACAAGTAAGGAGAGAAGGAGAAAAGATGTGATTTTTTAAATTAAATTAAATATTGTTTATTATAAGCTTTATTTAATATTTTTCAGAGAATCTGAGGATGAAGAAGAGGGAAACAAAAAAGAAATCACAAAGACCACCTCTACCATCAATGGAAGTACAGAAAGAAAAAAGAAACGACGAAGAAAGAAGACAAAGACACAAAATACTATGGACGATTCATACACTACCGAAATTAATCATGAAACATCTAAAGATAATAAACAACTTAATGGAAGTAGCAAAGAAAGTAAGGATAATGTAGCACAGAAAGAATCAAAGAAACCTGAGAAACGGAAGCAAGAAGAACAACTAGAGCAACCGAAGAAAAAGATAAAAAATAACTTCAAATCGTCTACAAATTCAATCGAAAATAACCCTCGCGAAGAAAAAGAAGCTACAGATAAATCTATTAAAGTTTCTAAAAAGAAAGTTAATGGTCAAAGTCACAATGAGTTGAATATCAAACATTCGAAGAGAGAAAAGTTCAACGAAAAGACGAAGAAAAAATTTGATAAAAAGAAGAAAAATGATTCGAAGAACAAAGAAATCAATAGTGACGTTACTTCACTAGATCCAGAGAGATTAAAGGTATATGGAATAAATCCAAAGAAATTGAAAAACAAATTGAAATATGGAAAAAAGAAACTGTAACTATAACATATTGTAAAAATAAATATGTACATAATTTTTTATTAATGGACCATCTTTCTATTCCCTATTTTTTTACATCGTTATTGAGACGCGCCCTATTCGATATCAATAAACATGTGGGGTAAACGTTTGGCGAGTATACGACGTGATCGAATAGGAGTACACCCTCGAGTAGGAGTGTCCTTGTTGTTAGGGTAAATCCATTTCGACATGATAAACGACGTTTGCGGATTATTAGAATCGCAGCAGCCTGTTTGCGTTTACTTTTCTAAAATCTCCGCTTTTAATCCGTCCCATATGCCTCATTCAAGGAAATCTGTCTTTCCGTTTCTGTTCAGTGGTCTTTTGTAGTCATGATAATACATAAATATTATTATTATTATACTGTTAACATTAAAGGACAGAGTTAACATTAAAAAGAATGTTTTCTTTAAAAGTTGATATTAAAAATATGCAGAACAGAATGAAAGGCAACGAAAGTAATATTTGCAAGTTATAATAAAATTTGAAATAAAAAATTTGAAATTAATGAAATACTTTTGTATGGAATACTATTATACTATCGTGAATTTGATCGCATTGACTGGAATAATTTAATCGACAACAAAGCCTAGATATCTTTTACGAATGTTAGTTAACGAGGGCAGAGAGGATTAGGGATGACACGGTACTTGCACCCATCTAAACTGGTCTCTCTGTCCCCTTGGGTGCAATATATCAATTCTCCTAGCCCTACCAGCGGAATACTATTTCCACGGTAGCAGGTGGCTCCTGACAGCCACGCTCGTTCGCACCCTTAATTCCCAATTAATGTTATACTCGTTGTAAATGTGTGTTTTATCCGTGTTGCGCAAGTTGTAACACTGAAATGAACTACGTAGAAAGAAAGCATAGCAAGAAAAGAAAAAAAAAAAAATATTTGTGACAAGTAAATACGCGAATTTATATGGATCAGAGAGTTCGAAATATTTTATATTTGATTTACAAGACAACATTGTTTCGGATGAAAATGTTTTAGGAAGATATTTAATATAAAATTGAAATTTGTGATATTTTTTGATCTTAAAAAAATACATTTGACTTGAAAATATCTGAAACAAGGCATCATAGTCAATGTTAATATAATTTCGAAAGCTTTAATTCTCAACTAATACTAAACAGAGTTTTAAAAAGGGAAAGATTTATAGAAATTTTCTTTTTTTATCTTTGAGTATCCTTTTTTAGATTTCTTAGAAGAGGAATCTAATTCAGATCTCCAAGGCTATTTAATCACCACTTTCGTGAATTAAGAATCGTTTAGGGGTTGCACGAAAAGGAGTAGCTATTTTCACCGAATTACAAGCTATTGAGTTTCAAGATTACCAAATTTCACGGGCTAACGCCTCCATCTGGAATTGCATAGGGCGTATCGGAGGATAGTGTAATTGGGATATCATCCCTGTCCACGTTCTAATTGGCGGAAAGCTGTTGGGGCGAATATCTGAGAGGCTGGAGTTCAATGTATTGTCTCTTGGTTTCGTTTATAATTTCAATCTATCTTTTGCACAAAAATTCAAATTATAATTCAATTTAAATTGAAAATTTAGTCATTTGAATAGAAGCAGATATTTCTTATGATGAAGTATAAGTACTGTTATATGTCCGTGATTTCGACATGTCTCCCACTTGAATCATAATTACAAGGTACGTGGTGATCGTTCCGATGACCTAAAAGAATTAAAATGATTAGATATTAAAATAAATTATTATTACTATATTAATTATTATTACTACATTAATTTCTGATTAATAATAACTATTAATTAATATTTACTTTCTCAGGTCATTATAATGGCCACCACAATTAGTAGTGGCAATTTTACAGATTATTATTAAAAATTAATATGAATCATTGTATTTGTAAATAAAAATTAAGATATTAAGATACAATAATTATTGTAATTGTAAATTAAAATTTCATTTTTCATTTAACAATTTAATAAAACAAAAATCGACGTACTCCTTGAATAAACGCGTGATCTAGATTAAAGAATCCGTAAGCTGTGAATATCACTGGATTTTGTATCAGCTGTAGAGTGAAGTTTCTAATCTAAAAAGATCATTAAGTCAATGAATATGTTTTTTTTTTTTTTTTATGACAATCCTCAAGAAGAAAATTAGAATTTTTACTTCTGCTCGAAATTCCTTGTCGGTGGACGATTCGTAAAGCTTGCATACAAGATTCCCCATATCTGTCGCCTGTGAATAATTAACACAAAGTGTTAATAACAAACAAAAAGTATTCGATATGAATTTTTTTTTTAAATTTACTTTTCAAATTTCTTTTATGCTCGATATTTTAAATATAAGGTATACTTTGAAAAAAGTTTTTTTTATGTTTTTCTCTGCTTTTTTATGTTTTTTAAAGATTAAGAA